AAGCTTAGTTACCTGCTGAGGAATCTGAAGATGTCGTTAATTCAACTGTATACTGACCACTCTACAATTTCTACCTTCTTAGTGGTATTACTCTGCTACACAGGCATTGAAAGTTTTAAAGAATAAACTCACAGCACATGAACAGAAAGGCAAGCAGGATGAACTAGAATCTTTTGCTGAATCAGCACTAAAATCAGCCCTTTTCACAAAGGCCCTCAATATCTGAAAGGCTAAATCTTTGGAGAGGTGGTATTTACTTACTTACTTCTTTCTTTCTTTATTTTTGCGGCTCATTAAATTTTGCGGCTCAGAAGAAGTAAAGAGAGGCATAAAGAGCTAAATGATAAGTTTAAATGTCCAAAATTTCTTTGCCAAAAAATAAATAAATAAAAGTGAGAGCAACAGAAACTTTCTTGAAATGTTTTGATTCGTCAAACCTTGAAGTCATCCAAGTAATAAATTTTTAGATCTAGATGATCAAATAACAGTCGTATGGATTTCTCTAACTTCGTACATGTTAGGCCACTATATTTTACACAAACTATAAAATCGTCTGTCATTATTAGGGGGAAGATATTGAAACAACAAATGGAAGGTTCAATGGGGTGGTGGTGGGGGGGGTCTCCTCAATCAGGGCTTATGTTCATCTAGAGCCCAATCGTGGCCGACCCATCACACAGACCCACAGACCAGAGGCTTCTGAGATGCTGAGCTGTCTCCCAAATTAGATGGATTTCATTAAATTTCCCTTCTCTGAAAACTGACCATCCAGGAAACTACAAACCATGCTGTTTGATTAATTTGTAAAACCTGTTACCACCTGTGCCGAGAGATGATTAAAGTGCTTTTTCAATAAACTGATTTTGGATCGGTGCCTATACCAGTGAAGGTATCACATACGATGCACATACGTACGTGCCTTTTTAAAGCAATCTGTTGTCATGAAGATTGGTATGGGATATCTGCTATTTACAGGGTGTTGATCTAATACTGTAAAGGTTAAGCTCTAACTCCTGGAATGGAGGAGTGCCTACCTAACTCATCTGAATTTTTCTGTAGGGGAAATTTGTCTCTACAGCCAATCATTCAGTCATTTGTTTATAGTAGTGTGGACGCAGAGATATTTATTTCATACTAGTGGCCCGGTGCATGGATTCATGCACATTGAAAGGAAATTAATTAGAAGAAATATTTTTAAATTGCCAGTGCACGTCGGACATACAACTGGTCACTTAGTCTATTATATATATAGACTAGAGGCCCGGTGCACGAAATTCATGCATGGGTAGGGTCCCTAAGGCCTGGCTGGCGATCAGGGCCGATTGGGGCCTATCTGTGCTGCCTCCTGTGATCAGCGCACGTCATAGACAGCGATCGAACTCCCAGTCTCCCGGTCAAACTCCCGAGTGGACACTTTGCATATTAGCCTTTTATTATATAGGAGGATTTTGGGTTACAACCCAATGCTATGTTATTTGTTTTCTTGTCCCAGTTTTGGCCATTGGGAGCAATTTCAGGTTGGCTCTGGTATCCCTCTGACATGCCCCATCCTTTTGTTTTTGAACATTTCATTACTTTCTTCTCCTCGATGTTTTTTATCAGCAAAAAATGCCTTACTTTAAAAAAGGGCTTTTATGGGTTGAATTGTGTCCCATCTCCCCCAATTCATGTTCAAGTTCTGGCTACCAGCACCTGAGAATATGACCTGATTTGAAAGAGAGTCACTGGAGATGTAATTACTAAAATGAGGTCATACTGGGGTAGGGGTGGGCCCCTCGTTCAACATGAACAGTGTCCTTACAAAAGGTGGGAATTGGGGCACCGACAGCACACCAGCAGAGCACCATGTGAATATCCGGGCGATGCTTCTTCGGGCCAACGAATGTCATAAAATGCCAGCAAAACAGCAGATGTGCCCTCAGAAGGAGTCAACCTTGCTGACACCTTGATCTTGACCTTCTAGCCTCCAGAAGGGAAAGAAAATGAATGCCTGTTGTTACTCAGCTGTTGCTTTGCCATGGCAGCCTTTGCAACCTAATAAGGAGCTAATGTCGTTGAACTCTGCATTCCCATGAAAAACAATGCATAAATGTGGTATCAAAAGCAGCAGGAACGTCCGAACAACCATCTAAGAGTACACTGGCAATGAGAGCATGCACTTCGGACATGAACAGAGTGTGGGGGCAGCGTTTTCAGATCCCTCCTTTCCCCTGCAGAATGTTCGGCCACCTGCAGCTCGGCTCAGAGCGCTCCCTGCCAAGCACACCTGCGAGTACAAGCAATAACCACCCATCTAGCGTAATCACCATCTTCAACATGCTAAGTACCAGCTCCGTGAAAGCTGAGCATTTCCCAGGTGCCCCGCACAGCAAGCCTGCACGGAGCTGACACGGGAGACCCAGCCATGTCATGTCAGGTTGGCATTTCTGGTCGCTGTTTAATGACTCACTTTGCCCCATTTCCATCTTCCCTAAGTCACGTCAACAAGTGGCCAGAGGCTTAGAACGGAGCTGAATACCACCTCATTAGAAGTCATACAAATATCGTACAGTCATCCAGTATTTAGTACCCTAAGCTCTCCCAAGAACGGCTTTCAGTCCTCAGGAAAGAGAAGTGACTTGCTCTTACAGAGTTAAGACATGGAAGAGGCCGGCTAGAATCTGATCTGTCACCTCACACCACATCCAGTGACCTTCATGGAGGTGAAATCCAAGCACAGGGGTGGGTAAATATGGGAACTTTTTTCTTTCTTCAGTCAACTGGGGGACAAGGCGCTGGCAGTGACAGTACAGGATCTGGAGTAATTGTTTGGAAATCATTTTCATTAACAAAGCTCTGGTTCGTCTGCATTTTTATGCCTACGTTAAAAATCTAATGAAGTCATTAGGCTCGGGCCAGCTAGGGAAGCCTCGCCTGAGTGTGCATCCCTCCTGCAACCCCCCAGAGCTCTGCTATAATCCTTCAAATTATTAAATAATTACCGCGTTTCCCTTGGGTCACGCTTGGCAACAAAACACTGGTCTAAATGAACCAACGATATGACCCAGTGAATAACACTTAATGTTCTTAACTTCCCCGAGCACCCGAAGGATATGAAATACTTCCGAGGTCCAAGGTGGGGAATAGAGGAAGGAGTGTTCTGTGAGGTCTGGAGGGTAGGGAGAGTAGAATGACAAAGGAACAAGAGAATCTGGGAAATATTCCAATAACTGGTGTCATCTCCTCCCCCACCAACCCTGTATGTCGGCAATTCTCCACTCTGATCCTAGTTCCCTTCCAGATTTCAGGAGTGGCTACAGCCACCAGAAGAGAACCAGGCATATGGCTCTGTCCTTCTGGACGTTTCTACAACGTTGGCTGGGTTGCTCTGGAAAATCCCATTCTATCTCCGACAGCTCTGTGACCTCAAGTTGTCATTTCCAATCAAGTATGCTTCCACTGATTTTTATGAACATAGACAAAAGCTGCTACAACCATTTCTTCCCCTCCCAAATCTTTCAAACCTACTGTAGTTGCTATGTTAGGTTATTTGTTTCTAAGGCAACAGCGTATATCTAAGTACTAATGGCCTGTCCTTTTGCCAGGCAACAAACAGCCTTGTGATGCAACTGCACCTGTCTCGGCTACGCGTTACTATGGAGACGCTCTGGTTGCTATGGATACCATCACGCTAATCGCCTAGCAAAGGCAGACATACAGCAGTCTTCTCAGAGAGCCCAGCTGTTCCTCCCCGTCTCTTGCTGAAGACTGATTGTCTACCCCTGTGATGGAATGCTCTCAACTGAGATGCGCAGGAACTTCATTAACGCCGTTTCCGAGCATCCCTCTGCTCCTTTCTGCAGAGCACAAGGCTAGAGAAAGGATCTGCAGAGCCGTGGACCACAAAACTGCTGAAATCTATGAAGTCACGCCATTTCTCATTGACATAAACCTGCAGTCCAAGGATAATTTCTCTTCGCTGGGTGGTCACAACAGAAACATTACTAGACATTAAAAATTATTCTTTTACCCTAGCTGGTTTGGCTCAGTGGATAGAGCATCAGCCTGTGGACTGAAGGGTCCCAGGTTCGATTCCGGTCAAGGGCACATACCTCAGTTGCAGGCTCCTCCCCGGCCCGGGCCCTGGTTGAGGCTCATGCGGAAGGCAACCAATCAGTGTGTTTCTCTCACATCAATGTTTCTCTCTGTCTTTCCCTCTCTCTTCCATTCTCTCTAAGTCAATGGAAAAATGTCCTCGGATGAGGACAAAAATAAATAAATTATTCTTTCTGTAGGATTGAGGGCTTTATTTCAAAGCCAAGCACTATGTAAGATTAAATCAATTTTAAAAGTTGGTTCTGTTCTATGTGGCTTTAAAAAAACACACAATCTAACACTAATCACACTTCTTTGAAAAGTAACAAGCTACACATCCTCCCCTCCACTTATATCTTTGTAAAAATGGCACCGGGACCTCCTTGCTGCAATACAAATGGGCATGTGAAGGGGAACAGACATCTCCATGGTTCTCTGTGCTTGGCTCTGAAGAGGCAAACAGCAAGTAACCACAACAAAGTGGTCACTCGGGAGCCCGTCCACATGGCGACCAGAACGACAATAGTGAGGTGAGTCCTGCAGTGGACACTGTAGGCACTCCGGTCAGAGGACAGGAAGACAGACTCCCTTACGCGGCTCATTCTGTACTTGTATTCCAACAAACTGTGGCACGCTGATAAGTCAGAGCTGTCAACTTTTCCTGGTACATGTTTCTACCCTGGAAGGCAGTCTCTCACCCGCCCTGAAGCCTTCGGAAAACCCATTCCTCCAAAGCAGCAAAAGCGGTAAGATTTGCAAGAAACACAACAGCAGAGGTACCTCCGATAAGACTTTCTCTCTTTCTCATTTGCCTATTTTTAAAAGCATGCAGTCTATTAAATTAGTTTCAGCGCCGGTCTCTGCCAATATAAGGCAACTTCAGTAGACAAAAAAAAAAAAAAAAAAAGTAAATCTGAATTGCTTACCTTTGATATGCCTGAGGAGAGGCGGGAGGTGTATTGAACACATGAGGGTGTGGGTGATAAGGTGTCTTTTTCAAAGCCTGAATTAGATTTTGTCTATACTCCGGGTCTATGCACCACAATGACCCTTTCCCAATACTCTGCAAAGAAAATGAAAATACAACAGTGATTAGTACAGAAAGTATTATTTTGCATGAAATAGATGTGTAGCGATTATCATAGTTACTTAAGAAAATTAAAATACAAAAGTGAGTAGTACAGAAAATATTATTTTGCATGAAGTAGATTTATAGCTACTATTCACTTATTTTTTGAAAGCCTCTCTCACTTATTTGTCAACTGTGTGCCAGCCGTAAATACCATAATATTATAATTATACTCGGACAACAGAAACCAGAACCTGCGCTTCAGTGTAACTCGTGTGAAGTCTGACAGACAAAATGAACATATTACCAGGTGAGGCTGAGACAATAATATTGTCGTGTTCCTATCTTAACGGCCAAAAACACTTAGATTCCTTTACTATTTTTCAGTGTCAACTTTGAAGAACACGTATTCTCTTCTAAAAATGAATTTTAAATGCCAGATTTGAAACAGTGAAAGAAAACATGGGCTAAGGACGCCTCTCCATCTCCACTTTAAAAAAACAAGAATTGTTGTTGTTTTTAAACCCTGTTACATGGTACTGCTTTGCAAGCCAGAAAAGTAATCTGCTCCTTTTTTCCTACTAACTCGCAAAAGTATGACATTTAAGCTTGAAGTGGAATTCTGTAATTCTCCCCCGAGAAACAGAAGAACTGGGGCTGTGGTAAACCTAAGCCAGCCTGCATTTATCTTCCGATTCCTCTGTTCCCAGCGCTATGCTCCAGGCCTAACGGGGTTGTCTTTAGAAGTCCAACTTTAAAATGCAAATTTTATAAAACTGGTTACATGGAATGAGAAAGACTTGCTGAGGCCCACTTTCTGTGGGAGGCTTTTGGTCTGTGGACGGTGCGTTTTATTTAAAAAAAAAAAAGTCTCTCCCGCGAAGCCCATGGGACTGGCAGCTGGCCGATGGGCAGTCCCTGCTCCGACTGCTTTCAAGTGACCGAATGTACCCGGGCTGTTTGATAAGGTCATTTGTAAATATTTACTGATTTGGAGAGAAAAGAAGTCAAATTACATAAACCCATGCCCACCCCATGTTTCCAGCCAACGGACTCTCTTATTTTCAGAACTATTGTACTCCAGGAAGATTTAGAGAGCAAACAAGAAAATTGCTTAACTATTACTAGGGAGTGGGTGGGGGAGCCCAAGAAAATCTCTGAGGAAAATAAGTGGGTCTGAAAATCTTTAAAGAAGCTTAAAAATATGTGTATTTCAGTCAGTTCACCAAGTCATTTACTTACAAACTTATTCACAGAATGCATTAGAATTCTTTACTAGCAGCACCATCAGCAAGCAGGGGAACCGCAATTAACTCTTGCTGGTGGGCTGAGGGCAGGGAACTGCTCAAGGCCAAGGTCAGAAGCGGGAGCCCGTCACCCCAGTCACCCGCTCCCAGGCGCAGCCCTGACCCCAAACATGGGTCATCAGACCCAAGTTCCCAGTTTAATCACCCCGCTGTGTAAAGATGCCAAAGATTTCAACTTGGGAAAATCCAGCATCCCTTTGTGGCCTTTTCTTTCATGTGTCCATTTCCAAGCCCAGAGAATGCATGTTAAACTCACAGCTGGTGGGCCACAAACGAGGTATGTGGCCCGCCGGCCACGGGTCTGACATGCTTAAGTGCAGGGAACTGAGGAGACTTTATGGTTAAAGCAGTTAGGCCACTAAATGATCTACTGTGGACCCTCTGTTCTTTTCTTTGGAAAAGACGCACTTGACTCGCTTTTTAGAAGAAAGCGAAAAGCTATGGGATGTGGAGGAAGGGGGGGGGGGGTGCAGGGTAGACCATAATTACCGAATGTGGATAATATCAAGCAAAGCACAAAAGCCCCCAAGAGCCAGCAACTCCTGAGCAGTGGGGTCCTGCCCTGACCGCATCCAAGACCCATGGGGGGCCCAGTGGGACCTGCCTTTCTGATCCACTTGAACACAAGGCCCCAAACCAGCTACCTGGAGGGCCCAGGCTCACATGCAGCCCAACCATTTCTGCGGAGAGGTGATCTGAGCCCTGGGAACCCAGTGGCTTTTGTTTTCATCAAGGCGGCTTTCAGGGTTAGGTCGTTAATCTCACAGGGGAAAAACATGACCAAGCAAGGAAGGACAATGGACCCTCCCAGGGAAATAACAATAGGCCAAGAATGTGGTTTCTCCTAATCCTGACCTAAGTCGCTTGTTGATTATACTACCACACTATTTACAAACCAAATGGGAAGACCACAGGATGGGGGTGGGCTGGGGTGGGGGTAACATTTCACAAGGTAACTGACCTAGGTGCAAGAAGTGGGCGGAGTTACAATAAAAACAGAAATTCTGGAGCCTGACATTTCCTGTGCGGCCCTGAGCAAGCCATGGTCCCACAGAAAGTCTTGGCTTCCTCGTTGGCAAAATAAAGGCCCGAGAGACTGATGGAGGCCAGCAATGGCTTGTGAAACACCTAGAACAGGGGCAGCACCTGCAGGTCCCAATAAATGGTGACAACGTCATGAACATCTTTCTGACAGAAGGAAGAGAGCAGAGCTGGCTGTGCAATGCCTTTCAGTAAATCACATCCGATTCCCCCAAACCCATCCATCAGCAAGCTGGTGGCAGGAGAAGGTAAGAGTCTACTCATGGGTGCAGTTTAACAAATTCACTTGGAGGAGCTTTCCTACTCTCTCAGATCCCCCCCCCCCCGCCAATTATTCCATCAGCCTTCTATGCACCCCTCACTCCATGTTTCCTCTACTGCACCTCTCCTTTGCTCAGGAAGCCAATTCTGGCTCACAGTAACCTAGCTGCTGGAAGTTTTCTTTGGCCCAATCTTTGTACAGTGATCATCAAGCTGAGGTTTAATTGCAGACTTGGTCAGCGCATAGTCACAGTTCATTCATTCACTGCAGCCATCTGCCTGGGCTTTGGATCATAATGGTGTCTACCTTGGTCAAGTCCTGCATTTTATAGTGAGAGGGGCCAGAAAACCTGATAGGTGTTTACAGACCAGTCACTAATTTCAGGATCTCAGAATTTCCAAAGAGCCAAAAATAAACAAAAGCAGCACCTCTTCAGGACACACCCACGGCAACACTGTCAGTCTCGTTAATCCTGCCAATGACCTGACAGCAGACAGCGAACAGCAGAGAGCGGGAATGACTGGGTCTTATTTACAAGCCTTCTCCTTGGTTTCATGTTAGGGTTCAAAATTGTAGGAAGGTTGACTTGGAAACATTTCAGATGGAAACATGCAGGAGAGAATGCTCATTTCTTAGGTCAGGAAAAATTACATTTAATGGAGGGGAGAAGGCTATAATTTTATTACAGTTGTGCAGTATGTTTGAGAGTAAGAGCTTTCAGAGGTATCTGCATCTTATCTAAATAATATGGGTGGTTGTGGTGTTTTTTTTTTTTACCATAACTGTGTGGGTTATGTTTCATTGAATGTTAAGGAATTCAAAATTATAAGGGAAGAAAGATCTTCATTCATAGATACACTTTCACATTATATACATATATAAATATAATTATATAAATATATATTATATAATATATAAACGTATAAACATCAATATATATTTTACACACACATAGTTTGAAAAAAACTAATGTAAAAAGTAAAGGGGGGAAATGAGTAAAAAGATATGAAGGAACCAACCTTTTTTGTTTTTGAATTAAAAAACACCTGGGGAACAGCAGACAACTTCCTGTTAGCAATAAAAACATCAGTACATAAGAGGGAAAACACACACACACACATACAAGAGAAGCCTATATTGTGGAACTGATTAGTGAGAAATGGTTTTAAAAAGAGAGAGATAAGAACAACAACTAAATCAAACCCTCAATCTAACCTCTATAGTGACTTTCATTTTTCCTGAGAGCGCTAGACCCAGGGCCGTCTCTGGCAGCTCATGGACCTGCACGGCAGCACCTTGCGGTTTGCCTGGCATCGTCTTCGTTCGGGGTCTGCCCCAGGTGGTGAGTTCTGACCGTAACTTAAACACTGTTCACAGACTGAGGACTATGACACATGAACGGGTCATGAAATCCATGTAATGGGTTAACAGCCAGCACTGTTTTAATGGAACAGAACAGAACCAAATAGACTAGACTAGAAAATGCCTGGAGCAAGTAGTATTTTGTGAAACGTGTAAGTGTGTACACATGTACACAGGTGCACATAGATCACAAGGTAACATACACTTCTAGGAATCTGGGTTCCAAAAGTGAGGTAAACACTGGCCGAGGACAATGGTTCCCATGTTTTTTCTTCTTGTCACTTGTGGGGGGATAAGGTCCACGTCCAGCAATAATGAAGGGCTCTCTCAACGTGACACCCCATGCAGGGCGGGGCTGTACTTGGGGAAGGGGGGGAGGGGACAGGACCTACATCAAAATGGAGCAGGGAGCTGGATACATGTTCTTGGCAAATTTGAAACCATCCTTTTGATGTTTCTGATATGTCATTTCTGAGGGTGTTTCCCACACCAACCACCTCATCCATCCCCTCATCCATAAGGTACCCAGGGTGTGCCAGGCAACGTGGGGACACATTAGTGAATGCAGAACAGGGCAAACAGGGTCCACTCTCCTGAAGCCTGGATTCTAGAGGGGGGAGAGGAGAGTAAAGAGAAAAAACTATGCAAGACCATGACAGACCGTAATGGCTTCTGTGAAGAAAATAAAGAGGGTGACGAGTTGAAAGACAGGAGCTGCTAGGAGCCGAGGCCTCCATCCAGCCATGGTGGCCGGGTCAGAGCAGTGGAGATGGAGAAGAGAGGACAGCTTCAGGGTGGGCTCTGGAGAACCAACGGGAGCTGGTGATGGATTAGAAGTTAAAGAAAAAGTGGCAGGAAAAGAAAAAGAAAAAGTAAGTCTTTGGTTTGAGCAACGCAGTGGATCAAAGATTGGGAAAGGGGAAAATTCAGGGCTCATTGGAACATACAAGCTTTGAGACGCTGATGTATTAAGAATGACTGATGGCCCTGGCCGGTTTGGCTCAGTGGATAGAGTGTCAGCC